TAGATCTGCAGCCTGTGATAAGACGTTCAAATTCTTTGATTTTTTATGACACCGTGTAAAAATTATAAGCTACAAGTGGAGTCTGACATTTAATTATGTGAGTGGTATCACCAAAATCAAACCAAAGCTCTTTAAATGAAGTGAGGAGTTGATTAACTCGTGTCCACCAAGATGATTTCTGCCTCAGCCGTATCAGATGATTCTCATTTGCAGTAGGGGTTGTTCGTGGCGGTCAATCACTCACAAATTGGTTGCATTTAGATGTTTTGTCTGTGTTTTAAAGGTGCTAATAAACAGACATCTCACTGTTTTGACAGGAGCAGTTTTTGCACAGTTTGACTTAAGCACTGGTGTTTATTTACCCTAAAATAAGAGATAATTTAGCACAAAAAGACATTATGTTCATAATTACATTTAGAGCTATCTAGTTATGCAGATAGTTTGGCTTAACTTGTCAAGCTTTTGTCGTATTAGCTGCAGAGATTTCTGCTTCTAGCCAACACAATGGAGCAAATTGGACTTTTGATGAGTTATATCTGTAAAAATTCTACCGCAGCTTCCAGACGTGAGGTCCCATTTATTCTGATAAAATTCTCCTGCAACGTCTGTGGATTATTCAGAACAACCGAGACATTGTTTCTCTCTGAGAGGAGACATTGCTGTTGAGTTTAAAATGTCATTTTCAAATGATTTGAATGCTGCAAATGAAATTCCATTTTGCTTCATTGTATTGAGGGAGCTGCAGAAACCTCAGCAGCTCTTATCTGAAAACCTTAAACTGGAAATAAAACTGAGAGTATCTGCATGACTGGAAACCAAAGTGTGAGAGTGTGTATTTGCTGTGATTCAAACCCTTTAAGGAAATCTCTACATCTGAGTGTGTGGATGTGATAAAGCTGCAAAGTTGGAATGCTCTCAGTGCACTCAGTGTTTACTTGGCCTCCATTATCTTTTATTTGTAGGCTGATAGTGTCTCTTGGCAGGGAATAAACGAGCTGTAAATCTGGGATGTATTTGTGCATGAGGGGGATGAGGGACACGCACAAACACAAGTATAAGTATGCAGGTGAGGAACCTGGATTCACTCAAGCCTTTCCGGTTTTATTTCATTGTGAGATTCTGGAAAAAGCTGAAAACAATGAGCTTGATGCGTTCATTAGCTGTGCAGAACATGAACGCAAACCCTCCGTGTGAATATGCATATTAGAGAATCAGCCATGGAAAGCTTCACTCCCCAACACATTTGAATATGCAAATGTTTCCCAGCACAAAAAGCCTTGACAAGCTGTTATTACATGATTCCTGTGGGTGCAGACACAACAGCCTGAAATATATTATAGCAGGCAGAACTCGCAGGAGGAGAGTGGCCCTCGACAGTTGCTGGGGAGATGTGTGAATGTTTCCTCCGCGCATGTATGCAACCCTGGGTGTTTGCATGTGTGTTTGTGAGAATTCAGAGAGGAGTGGATGTGCTGGGTCATACTGGTTATGAAAGGATTGGTCACAGGGGGCAACAAAACAGTCATGGGAATAAATTCAAATCACAGCTTAAAACAGGAGGCAGTTAAGACTGTCAGACATGGACGGACTGTGTTAGGGTTAGAAAACAGATCTAAAAATTTCACACTTAGGAATAAAAAAACTGTATATATTGTATTTAGAGTGGAAAAACTCACTAAATATGTTTCCTACTGTGGTGGTAAATGTGCAAATCTGATTACTGGTGACTCTCTGACTTCAGTGAATTGAAATGCAATTCATTACAAGATGATGACAAGTTAAATGATTCAAATTTTCAGACTTGCTGAAATGCCAAACTTTACTTATTGAAATTTTTTTTTCATCATGTCATAAAAATTGAAGGATTTGAGCTCTTTTCTGTACTATAGCGTTTGTTTCATGGAGAACATCACATGGAACTTCAGCTGTTGCCTTGGGTGGGATGTATACAAGTATTGTTATGATGTGACTAACTGAAAGAAATGCATGCAAATGGGTGTCCATATTACTTTTACCTCCATGAGTGTTGCAACTGCATTGAGATGTTTTTTTGGGGGAAAAAAAGGGGAGTTATCACACTACTACATAAAGAGACCACTGAGTTGGTGTTACCCTGGTGGGCCAGCACCTTTAGAGTATTAGTTATGACCTGTCAGGTCTTTGGAAGCTGCTTTAAATGGACTTGTCAATGAGGAAACACATAAACATTTATATTGCTTAAGGCTGAAATATGGGATGCAATGAGCCCTTCATAAACCCAATTGCTCCCCTTGTGTTGAGTCATCACACACATTAATGACAATTTCAATACCTTCATTAGCACAGACGCACACACTTCCACACATAATGACAATGCGTGCAAGAGCTGCAGCCCTAATATTTCTTACCTAATTGTAATGGGCGATGTGACTCGTGGCTGTTTAGAGCTATCGATTGGAGCTAAAGACACACTGTTTGTTTAAGTCATCATTAACACAACCTTCAATAAGGGTCACTGGCAGCAAGTGTGATACTGATGTGTTTGTGTGTGTGTGTGTGAATGTATGTGTATGTTGCTTTTGGTTGGGAATCAGTCTGAAAGAAAGCAAAATGACCAGGTGTGAAAAAGCACTCACAGCACCTACTTTGTCTTGCTGTTGGAGTGTCACCGCCAATTGAAACACAAATCCATATAAGCTGTCTCTTTGTGTGATATAGGGTTTAATGTACATGACTGTGAGATACAGGGATACAAACACTGTAAGAAATAGAGAACCTCAATGGAAACTCAATGTTATGAAAACGCATGTGCACGGCTAGATTAAATTGTCACTGTCAGTTATATATCATTGGGACTAATTCGTACGACTGTAGAGAGAGCTTAAAACGTGCAATATTTGAGTTCATGAAATATTTTGTGTATCATATGATCTTGAATTCTTCTATCATATATATCTAATCAGGCAACAAGTGTTTTGTCTCCTTGTATTGTATCATATCATACTGTGTTGTTTAATATTATATAAAACCATATATGTTTTAGGGAGGCAATGAAATGCATTGTATTGCGCAAAAGTATATCTTATTATATGGTATCATCTTGTTTCAAATTAGATCATATGAAAATATTTTATGTTATTGTATCATATAATTTCTTATTGAAATTAATTATATTGTATTTATTGTATTGTGTCACATATTGTATCCTATAATGTACTGTTTTCTACAGTATCACTGCTGGACAGGCAGGCAAATGTGACTTAAAATCTGATTAGCCTCAGTTCTTGAGAGAATTGCTCTTAACTTCAAGATTTTTTCTCTTTTTGTTCAAGTTCTGAATTTTGTGGATGCTTAATCTGTCTATCCTGCACATTCAAATCATTTTTGGTTGATTTTTACTCATGCAAGCTGAATTACAGAAGGCTTTAACACTTCTTCCTGCTTCTCGGTTTGAAGAGGTTTTTCCCCACTGCCTTAGTGTCCATTAACATAACTATCAGGCAAGGGGAGGATTTGAATGATTGCATAAAGAGACGTCAGTGACAGACCTGGGTATTTCACTCGGCTCCAGCCGGTCAGATTTCAGACATGTCATCTTCATCTCTATGTGTGGCTTATATTTGTCACTAGAACAGACATCTTTATGCTTGGAGGGCAAATGCACAAGTAGCCATTTGACGTCGACAGCTACCCATGAATCTGTCAGATGAGTGTAGGATGGGTTGATGTTGAGGTCTACGAGAGGGAGAGACATGTCAATCATCTGTGGTGCAGTCTGCTTACCTTGGAGTGAAAACATTACACGCATGAGGCATACGTAACAGGTGACAGGACAGTGGCAACTTGGATATATGATGAATGGGTGCTGTATATTGGATTACACACATCTAATAGGCTTCACTAATCCTGATCAATACTGAAGTGGATTTACAATGAGGACCTTGACCTGAGTTAATCTCATGATGTTTTTAACAGGCCTTTCTCAAAACACATTCATGTTTTATATCAAATTGTTGTCATTTATTTATGTTCAGTTTTTGCTTTATTCACATATATTTTATAAGAATCGTGTTGTTTGTTTATAAGAGGAATATTTAAGAATAGTGCTAAGTTTAACATTCTTAAAATCCTGTAGTCTTTTCACATATTTGCATTTTAAAAAATCAACTTTAAGGAATTCAAATCACTGTTTTTTGTTTTTGAGCAAATGTACCTTATTAGCTAATGCCAATGTTCACATAATCCAAGTGCCCTTTAACTAAACCTCAAACTCCATCGTTACCAAGGCAGCTAATGCTAGCAAACAGCTACCAGCCACTATAGTGTCCATCGGCTCTCACATTTGGTATTAATCTCAATTTTGACCACCTTTTTCATTTGTGTTAGTTAAAGTTTTTTATTTCCTTTCTGTCTTTCTTTTCAATCTGTCACACTTTGCTGAAAGTTTCTGAGGTTATTAGAGAGAAAAAAATATAATGTTAGAACACTTTTAACCATGCTTTTTAGTGTTTTCATTCAGTTACGTAACTCAGGATCCACCAGAAGTGGTGCTTCAAAGTAAAAACATAGTTTTACAGTACTAAATACAAGACAAAATAAAAAACAACAGGGTTAAAGCATGACAAAAAAATCATTTTTAGGATGATGTCTCCTCTAAAGAAGATTTGGTCACAGGGCAGATGATGTGAATGACCATGAATTTAAACATCATTAGATATGGATGATGAAATGTGAGATTAATGCAGTTATCAGGTAAATTTATTAAGTTATGCGTTGTGCCAAGATTCCTAATTGTATTGCTTTATTTTGAGGTTGTCAATAAATACCTGGATAATATCGTCATTGCGGTATTTTATGGCCATGATATCCAGAAACACTGACATTTTTATGTACATGTTGTTTTTTAATTTTGATATTTTCCTGAATCGATTTTTTTTACTCCCATCTTTGTCTGCTCTACTGATTACTCAACAAGGAGACTTGCGTGTTCATCCTAGACTTTGGAGTGCTCCAACATGTAGTCACCAATCTATGTCTCTGTCAAAATTGAATGGGACTTTTACTTCTGGGACCCTGCGCGCCCGAAATAACTCCTCCTCCTTCACCATCACAGAGCGAGTTACATCATCTAAAAGCTTCTCCATCTCAGCGGTGTCCTCACTCTGGCTGTGTTGTTTTCTGCCCCATGAACTCCACCGCCCTGATCTTTCTTTCAGCCTCTTTGCTTTCACCATCATTATTCTTCTCCCTCTCCATGTCCCAGTTCTCTCTCCATTGCTCTGCTCTTCTTTCCTTCCATCTCTCTTCCTCCCTCCCAACCTCCCTCCCTCTGTCGCCCGAGGAAGAATCCAGCACCAACTGACAGTCTGATTTAGTTCCAATACCAACCTCCCATCTCTCTTTCTCTCTCTGTCTCTCCCTCTCTGTTTCTCTCCAGAGAGAGGGTGTCGCACATAAATCTCTGCTGTAGCCATCTATTACCTTCTACATTCACGCCCTGACCTAATTCCTCCTCGTCTCCAATGTGTCAGTAGGTTCAGGATATAATGGCCCCAATGTAGTCCTTCCTCCTCTTTCTAATCCAGACTAAGTCTCTTCAGTGTTTTATGGTTAATAATTTTACTAACTCTACCCCATTAAACCCCACTTTACTAATGAAAGAAGACAAATTGCCTGAGTAAAGTTCATTTCCACAGTCCCCTCTTTTTTCCTTGTCTCTGTCGGTATTCAGGAGTAATGTGTGCGCGAGTGTGTACGGGGCGTAAATTTTGACAACATATATATTTCCTTCAGTCTCACAAAAAATTATTGCACCAGTACTGTAGTTTGGCAGCATGATAAAATGGACAACTTCAACCATTTTTAAGAGGACTCTATCACTCCTTAAGAGATCAAGATTTAGCATCAGCTCATTTCCAACCTCAACACCCTCCTTTGGTTCTAAAATTTACCTCTTGTGTTAGTCACGGATAAAAATTTATCTCCATCACACGATCAACGGCCCATTCATGGACCAAATATATTGAGATGGGACACTGTTAGAACCACTGGTACCTCAGAAACAGCTCACCTGGGGTTCCAAAACAGTAAATATTGCCTAGCCTAAAGGCTCAGACCTGGATATGAGCTGTTTCTCCCCTATTTGTTCCCTCTGCATGGGGCCGCTGATGACTTTTCATGGAATGACTTTTACTGCACTTCTGAGACTGCACATGCAGTTCTACTTAATTATGCAATTCATTTTAATTACCAAGTAATCATCAGTTAATCAGATGAGAGTGGCGCCTCAGTAGTTAACAGAGACAGGTCAGGTGGAAAGAAGTCTCAATGGAAATAAGTTGCCAGGTAACCAGTCACCTGGCAACCCCATTATGGCAACAGGGGATGATAAAGATTTCTAGCGAAGTAATTGTGCAACACTAATCAAAGAAACTACGAACACAACTTATCTTGTGGATCTGTTTTTGGTACAAATGACAAAATATGAGACAGAAATGAAACTGAATTTTTTAAGTACAGAACCAAACAGAGAATATCCTCTCCAAAGAGACTCCCCAAACCACATGACCACACAAGTAAAAAAAAAAAAAAAGGAGCCTGTCTGAAAGGGGTAGGCAATGCTTCACTGACATGGCTCACAGCAAATGTAGTGATGCCAGCTCAGGCATCAACCTCTGGTCCAAAGAATCAAAGCTGATGTGAAGGTACTGAAACTTGTTGACTGTCCATTTGAGGCTGGCTTCAAAAGCACCAAAAACTATATACACACACCCATTCAAGGAAGTCCCTTTTTTACAGTAAAAGTAAACATGTCTTCAGACAGTTTCTGCCTGTTTTTTTTAGTAACTCAATGTGACTGAAGATGCAAAGGTTATGAGATTAGCATATTTAAAGGTACAGCAGACTTTACAAACTAGCAACAGCACAGTAGTTCAACCTCCTTGTCTGGTAGTCAAACAGGGAGGTTAGTGATCTGTCATTCAGTGCATTTCAGATGATTGAGCAGCCTTTCTTCATCAGACTATTTGAGTTATTTGATGCAGATGGGGTGTTTAGAGGTCTAACAAGAATATTCTGCTTAAATATGTTCACTGCCTTGGCTTAAAAATCTTCTGTATGGAGTTCTCTGACCAAACTTGTACTTGTACACACAGACAAATCAAACAAACTATTAATGTGTATCTTTCTTTTCTTTATTTTGAATTCCACCATTTGTGTAGAAAAATCATCTTCTTTCTTCATCTGGTTGTGTTACTGTTTTTTACTTTTGGCTCATGAAACTTAAGGTTATTTTTAAAACACAATGGTAGCATAATTGTGATCCATCAATATGTTAATCTTTGAGGTTATAACATTTTTTTCTGTTAACCGTTTCTTGCTTTTGTAAAAAATAGACTTTATTATGAGCATTTTGAACTCAGTTTTAGAAGAGGTCCAGCTTATGTTTCTATCATGTTGTGGGTAAAGTGCAGATGAAACCAAAGCAGAGTATAAATGTGTGAACAGCCATGTTGGATCCTCAAGGATGGGGTGGACTCCATTTATCTTCTCAAAAGTTCCTCTTCAGATGGGCAATTATTCCCCAAGTGCCCTTCAAAAGGATTCCATTAGAAGCAAAAGCCAGGAGGGACTAGAAGGAATGAAATGATCAGTCTCGGTGCTCACAATGTGTTCATATGTGGTGGGGGACAAACTGGACTTTCAATGCAGTTAGCAATAAAAGGGTTGGCCTAAAGGGGCTTTAAAACATGTAGGCCAATAAACATGATTGAAAGGATCAAGTTAAATGCACGCTGCAACATTCATTGTTTTCAGTGAGAGGGGGACAGTCATCTAAGAGCAGTGATGTGCTGCCTTTATTGAACAAATGGAGCCAAGCAACAAAAATCGAAGATCCCCAACAACAGTGAGCAGGTTGAAAAGTAGCATGCAGAATGAAGAAGATGTTGAATTTTTTTTCTCTTTAAGATAAAAAAGAAAAAAAATATTAACAAAATATTTCAACTTTGACTTCAGGAGTGAGAACTTAATATTTGTCACAAAACGGTGAAGAAACTACACTAAAGTACAGCTCTTGGTTTATTAAAGCAACATTTCATCCCAGGTACACAAACAATAGAAGCAGGAGTTACCGAATATAACAGCTTCGAATAATTTTTCTACCTTTGCTTAATCAAATATCACTCAGCATGTCTTCCCATTAACAAATATGCAAATGCATTTATACCGAAGTGATCAGATCACTAATTCGAGAAACATTTGTAAATGTCAGGCTTTCCACCCGATGTGATGATGTGTGTTGATTTTCTTTACTTCTTATCAGTATTGTTTCTTTGAGCAGCTGTAATGAAAGATAAGCATGAGACATTTAACTAAAGGTGCCAATCTGGACTCTAAATGGGGACATGAAATGCAGATATTTTCTTTTTTTGGGGGGGTCTTATTTTGGGGTTTTCAGGTCATGTAGAGGCATATAATGTTGGGTGATAGCTTGACACAGAGACTTTAATGCAAAGGGAAGTTAAAGTGATTTTTGAAAGTCAACAAACCACTTCATGCCATACTTTGGATTTGATTCAAAACCTGGTAAATCTGCACAAGTAAATATATCTATATACACATTCATAAGAGGGGTAGGCAAATGTGGATAAAACATGAAAACACACTGTACTTGCCATTAACCTGACTTTTCTGGTGTGAATTTCAGATAAGGGTAATATCAGTGTTGACAGGTGATATTTCAGTGAGTAGAGGAGAACAGAGGGTATTTCTAGACTTGGGAGGAAGGTTTAGAGGTGCTTTAAAGGTTGGTGGATAAGAGCAGAAGGAAATAGGTTGACAGGGACATAAGGACAGATGGAGAAACGAAAGATGAAGAAGAAGAGAAAGATTTAGTTTGGGTGACAGAGCAGACAGAGTGGGAAGAACAGGTAGAGGAGGATTTAAGGTGAAATGGGAAGGATAGAATCAGCTCAGCATGGAGCGTAATGAGAAAGAGGGCAGGAAAGATGATATTTAACTTTTGTCTCCCAGTGGTGTGTGGGTAATTGTACCCTCTACTTTTTAAAAAGTAAGAACAGCACAGTGTAAAGACCCCACATTAAAAGTAAAAAAGTAAAAATATAATCTTATTTAACGAGTAAAAGTTTCAGTATGAGAATCTTGAAAGTTTAAAAGCAAAACATCTCATCATGAAAAGTAACTAGAAAATATGACAGAAGTGATGTTTCGGTATCTTAAGTTCTGTAGCTAACTTGGAGTTTATTTCAGCAATGTTTGAAATGTTGAGTTGGTTGAAAACTTTTTTTTTTTTTCAGATTTTTTGAGTGGCTGGGTCAAGGATAGAGTAAAGCAAGACTTGGTCGTGGTTATTGCACGGGCAAGTTCCCATTAGATGTTAGGTGTCAGTTAGAGTCAAAGTCCCCTGAAGTCCTGAAAACCAAGCTGTATGTGTGTGTGTGAGAGAGAGTTCTTATATTCATGTCTTAGCAAGGACAAGTGTTGTGATTTGTGAGTGAGGACTTGTCCATCCCTTTCTTTTTTCCTTATTAGGGCCCGAGCGTAGCTGCTAAGCAGCTGCGAGAGCCCTCTTGTTCCTGTAGTTTCCTTCTTTTGTTATTATTATTAGGGCCCGAGCGTAGCTGCTAAGCAGCTGCGAGAGCCCTCTTGTTCCTGTAGTTTCCTTCTTTTGTTATTATTATTATTATTATTTTTCCTCCCCTTTGAACTGGAAAATGGCCCACTTCCCACTGGCGAAAACTCATGAAATTTGGCAGGACGACCGGGCCTGGTGAAAAATTTGATATTCCGAAGTCGCCCAAACAAGAAAATGCAAAATGGCTCCATAGCGCCCCCTAAGGTGAAAATTCACACTATTCACTGTCACGCCGGTACGCTTTGTCAAAATGACACAAAAATTGACAAACACATGTATCTCAATAAGATCTACAAAAAAGTCAGTGCGGGCGTATCTGTCAAATGTACGGTTAAAGGGTTATTTCGCATTTTTTGCCGATCCGCACACATTGCAATTTCGCTAACTCCTCCGAAGGCTTTCGTTCCACCGGCACCACATTTGCTCAGGCCAATCTACACCCCATGGCCATTAAAAGTTATTCAAATCATGACGCTGCACCCCACGGTTTAGGTTCTAGGGGGCGCCAAAGATAACCCTAAGATCCACATATTTAAAAGTCTTATAACTTTTTATTTTTGCCCTCACTGGCCTCCAAGTTTTCTAGGATGATGCAATGTCCAGCCATCAACACATTTGTGAAGGAATTTTTACTCCCCAAAAGAGCGCCCCCCCATGGCAGGAGAAAAAAGTCCATTTTTTCTTGTCCCCTAAGGTGAAAATACACATTGTTGAGTGTAACACCTGTACGCTTTGGCAAAATGACACAAAAATTGACACACACATGTATCTCAATAAGATCTACGAAAAAGTCAATGCGCGCGTATCTGTCAAATGTAC